GGATATCAAGCACATGCACAGCATCGCAAAACATTTGTTTCCTCAGCCAAGCTGTAAATTGGAACCTTCTCAACGCAAGACTCGCCTCCTCCCTTGCCTGGATCGGCACGGCAGGCGAAAGTGTTCAAAAATGGCCGCAGTTCGGGTGCGCTTACTGCAAAAGACACACTTCCAAATCAAATCCTCCTGTCTCAATAAGTGGCTGGGGTGACCAACCGGGACAGTAGCACTGCCCGCTCCTATGCACTGCTGTGAGGCACACTGTTTCAAGCGTGCCTGGGACATGTTACTGCGAAGAAGCAACCGACAATTTGCGCAGCAAGCCTTCCCTGGTTTCACTAGCCAAACATGCTGTGGGTGAGTAACGGTGAGGTGCTCGAGAAGCTGCTGTTTCGTAAGCCCTTTAGGGCCATGCACTTTACCCAAGGCAAAGCAGCAGTGACAAGGTGCTCTGCAACTTCAAGCACACGGCGGTCATCCGTATGCTTGTTAGCGTGGGTTTGGGCCCGCGAATTTGCCTCACGATTTCCAATCCAAGACCAGACGGGCTTGTCAGGAAACAGGTTGGTAAACTCCGCCTGTGAAAGCCTTAATTTCCGTCCACAGATCGGTATGGGTGCAATCGAGGCCTCTAGATCTGGACATTGGCACATAGGACAGTTCTCTTCAGCAAAATGCGTGTGGTCCAGAAACCTGAAAGAATCTTGCACAACAACTTCAAGCGCAGGCAGCCTTTCAGGTTGATTTCGCTGCCAACTCCGATGCAACCTCCGGACAACCGTGGAATCAATGCCATTCAAGAGTTCAGCCGTTTGGGCAGCACGACTGATGGACTTGTATTCATCTGTCTTCAGATGACCAGAAACAAGTTTCCACAGTGCCGCGGGCTGCAAGTTGTCGCGATAGTCAATCTTGACTGTGATACCGTCAGGCGTAATCCACTCATCCCAAGCAACCGGATTCCAATCCAACTGCATCAACAACGCAATTACAGCGGACATGGGGCCTTTAGCAAGCTGCCAAAGGTTACTTAACAGTCCGCAGATGCCTGAGGCAACGCTCCCAAGCTCTTCGGACTCAAGTTTTGGCAGCCCTTTCTGAACCAACCGGCACCAATTCTGGCAACAACTGTTTCCTATAGCAAGATACCAAGGGTCTTGTTGCTCTTTCAAAAGCTACAACGCGAAGACCTCAACGCTACCAATTGACTTGACCATACGCGTTGCCTGAAGCACCTGAGATCGCAGCTGTCTTAAGTGACTGCAAGGAATGCCATGCTGCTGTGCACCCCACAACATGGCAGGCAGCACGTTGGTGGCCACAAGCTTCGCACGAGCCCTAACAGTCAACACCCTCAACTCAACAAGCCGACCCAACGCCTTACGCCTGCGAACCTTTTGGTGGCCAACTCTCTTCAAACGCCCGGCAGTCGCATCGAGACCTAAATCCTTGATCGCGTCATGCACTTTGGGAGCATTGCTTTTTTGTTGCAAGGCTTTCCTAAGCTGTTGCGCAACCGAGCTGTTGCTGCACAGGAACCGACTTTTCTTTCTCGAGATACAAAGGTTCAACTTTTCAATGCCGTCGGCAAGCTTCTCAAACACTTCAACAGCAGCTTCCAACACCAGGGTTTTCTCACAAGGGAAACGGCAGTCAATGGAAATGTCATCCCCAAGTTGACAAAGACCTAGGCGCAACATAGACACGTCTATGCATCATGCTCATGAGGTCGTGAAGATACAACTTAGCATGATACACCGCAAAAGGGCAACCAGCAACAAGGCCGCACTTCGGTCGGATGCCTTCACTCGTGACGGTTTCCGCAGTGGGGAACCGCACAGCTTCATGAAAAACGAGGCTGTGATGCATGACGCTTGCGGGAAAGCCATGCAGCAACGCGAAGGCGGCAAGCGGGTCCAACTGCACATGATCATAGAAATGCGTCAAGTCAACCAGCAAGGTAACCTGGGCAACGTCAAGCCAAGTGTGAACCTTACGACTAGCGCAATCAAACACGGTGGTTTCAGGAACTGCAAGATCCCAGTATATCCCAGTCAGCAACGTCTCTATAATTCTTCAACCACCGCTTCACAAGGAAAGCCCGCACTTTCCGCCAAAGCCGATAAAGAGCACTGAGCAAGCCAATCGGGCACTGAGACTCTTCATTTTTGGGAAGAAGAGCAACCATCACATGCTGCAAGCTGGAAGGCCACACTCCTGTGGCCTCAATGCGATGGTACAGAAACGTGAGTGCGCTCACGCCTTCTTCGGGCAACTGCCGCAGCACTTGCAAGGTGTGTCGAATTTGGGCACTGCTGATGGGTTTTTGTTGGCCGGCCTTTTCAATTGCTTTCCTAAGAAACTCTTGTCTCACTGGACTTAAATCATGTCGCGGTTCCTGGTGCCCCCACAATTTCACCCACAATTTCACCCAGTACTGTCTCCGCAGCTCGGGCCTCTTTTCAGGCGCATCTTGGGCAAAGGGTCTTGGCACGCGACATCACGCGACCCTCCCCATGCTTGAGGAAAGCATGCGCCTGCCTAGCAGAGCCCTTAACAGCATCCTCCGCCCACTGCGTGGCTCGGTCTCTTTCTTCTTGAAGACTGGCAAGCTGGGCTTCATGCAGGCGGAATTGTAGCTGCTCAACAGGTTTTGAGCAAACAACCTTGGTGCAGGTGTCAAGGCGCAGCAAAACGTGTTGGAGACCCAAAAACGAAAACGACTTCGACCGAACCGAACGTGAGTTGATACACAAGCCATCGCTGCCAGTGACGGCCTTGCCACTCGGCCAATACTGAGCCATCTTGCAGGCCGCATTGGCGATATCAACAAACAACCTACTCAGCAGCACTCTGAGCTTTCGACGGACGCTCCCGCAACCGGACAAAGTCTGATGTCCATCGGTGAAGCAGATTCCAACACCCGACGTCTTTACGTCTCCACACAGCCGCCGGCGCTTTCAACTGACCCATGCAAGCCTCTCCAATTTCGACGATTCGGCCCCTGCCTAACCTAACATTGGCAGTGTCGGTGACCGTGGACAAAACCCAAGCTTCAAACTGGGCAATGAACTGCGCAAACATGCTGTCAAGCACATCGTCGCAATGACAGAAAGGTGGCCTGAGGGCATTTTGAGCTCTGCAGTTGCCTTCTGGAAAGCACTCCAAGGCAAGCGCGGCCCATGACTGCAAGGGAGTCTACTCAGTGATAGTATCCCTATTGGTCCCAGCCAAGAGACTTTCATCAACCTTGATATACAAGGACACAACGAGGACAGTGACCTCCCGTAAGCGCACCCAAACACTTGCAAACCCTCACGCACTTCCGTACGCGGGCCCCGGCTGGCGTGCAACCTAGCTCCGCGCGGTGCAACACAAGAGCTCCTCTTTGCGAACCTTTGTCATTCGCTTTGGCAAAATTGCCCCACATCAACCACCTCGCCAAGCCGATTTGGCGTTCCTGAGTCGCCCAAAATCCCTTCGTGGTGATGTGGTGCTCCGATATGCAAGCTATATGCACAGACTGGCAAGCTTCATCTGGTTCACTCAAGTACTGTAAGGCCTTGGTGCTCCAGCTAGTGACATTCGCGAAAAGAACTTTAAACTCACCCACCGTTTCATGTGGGTGCTGAAACTCAAAACCATCGCCTCTTAGCGATGAAGTCGCTCTCACTGTGGTGCGGTTACCCCTGCGGCTGTTGGGCTCCCATGGGCTCATCATGTTCCTTTTGCCGTCGTTTTTGTTGAGCCTCATCCTCTGATGAACCCAGGACTTGCAGTATCTTGCGCATGTCCTCCGGCGACACCTTGCCTTCCAGCATTGCGCTCGCACTCGGCCTGCACCTACTGATTTGCAAGCTGCTGCGCTTGATCTTGGAGTTTTCCCGCATCCCCCTGCTTAGGAGCCGGCGGCTCCAAGTACTTGGCACGCACCACCTGCTCGGCATACTTGCTGGAGACTCGCTCCATGTCCTCCGTGGCTGTGTCCAACTCCTTTTGGAGAGATTCCAGGTCACATTCCACTTTGGCCGCATGTTCCTCTGCACGTTGTACCTGCTCCTTTGCCTTATCCAGCTCGGCCTTGAGTTGGATCTTCTTCTGTCCCAAATCTCGGAGCTTGCTGTAGCCATGCTTGAACTCTCTGGTGACGACATCCGGGTCATTGGGGTCCTCCGCTGGTGGTTCAGGCTTGGGCTCAACAGCAGGTCCCAATGCCCTTTGCACCGACTCTGGCAGGGTGGACCAGCTGGTTTTGAGCACCGCCTCGACATGCTGACGCCACCGATCGTCGTCGTCGTCGTCAGGCTTTGCCTCATCCCAAACCACTTGTCGTCCGACATCTGTCCATCCCCAATGCTGGCGATCGTACTTCCATGCATTCCTCGCGAGAGTACTACTTACTACCATTCCACCCGTCATTACGAGTAGACACAGTAGAAGGCTGAGACCTCGGAGCAAACGACTTAACCCTCTTGCCCTGCTGGTCGCTGGTGTGGTGTATGTGCCCCCCAACTCCAGGGCCTCCCACATCTGCAGTTGACCAACTTGGCCGCTCGGTTTGCCCAGGCACAAGAAATCCAAGCATGGGGCTGCATTGCCAGTTCACTAGTTGAGACGACTCGGGCCCAAAACTTGCGCCAAAATGGCTACGGACGCATCGCAAAACACGAGGACGCCTACAGCAAAGACCGCCGAAGGCTTCTAAGGAACCCCCAGTCTTCCGCGGGCTCGAGGATGAGAGGCGGATGCTTTGAGGATCTCTACACCCAGCAATTCCGGGAGGGTTCTGACCGTTGGATCTGTGCCATCAAGCGCGATCCGGAAACGATCTCCGGGTTCATGGGCCAAGGCCATGCGAGGCTTCTATAGGCTCCCACCTCGTTCGTGCATACCCAAAGCAGGCAAGAGCAGGTGATGGGGTTTCGTGAACACTGGGTCGAGAAGAGGCTGCACTGGCTCCCCGCTGCAGGTCCACCCGAACGGCAACCTCATCGCCGCAGGCTTCACATATTCCTCGCTGGATGGCTACACCAATGCCGGTTCAGAAGATGCTTTGCTCATGAGCTTCGACAGCACCGGCACCTGGCAATGGACCGTGCAGCGCGGAGGCTCCAGGGTGGTTCCTGCAAGTTTAGTTTGAGTTTTGTTGCAACCTGCCAAGAGAGGGACAGCAGACCGCAGAGCAGCGCCCGGAGCCCAGCCCTCGCCGCCCAGGCTCCGGCGATGATCGCTTCCGTGACCTGCAGGCAGGGAGTGGGGGGAGCGGGGGGAGCGAGGGCGCATGGGCAGCCGGCTGTGCAGCGCCGTTTGCAGAGAGTTCGGAGCTCGAGGCGTATTTTTATCGCTAGCGCATGGCGTGCGGTAGCCCTGGCACCAGGTGCATTTGCAGCAGCAGTTCCCAGCAAGAATCAGTAGCAGCAAGGGGAAGGCTTCCAGAGGCAAATCTCCGGACGCAAAGGAAAGGCTGTCAAAATTGGCCAGTCCCCACGCTTTCCGAAAGCTCCAGGATGAGAGGGGATGCTTTTAGGATCTATAGGCCCGGCAAATTTGGGAGGGTTCTGACCGTTGGATCTGTGCCAATAAACGCGATCCAGAAATGATCTCTGGGGCAGACTGGGGTTCATGGGCTAAGGCCCTGCTAGGCTACTATATAGGCCCCCCATCCCAGAGGCCAGAGGCCTTAGCGAACTGACAACCGCCCCAAGTGCCAGGCTTTCTTGCAGGTTCCAGGTGGAAGGTTTCAAGTTTTTGCGCGCTGGAAACTTAAAGCTGCAGGCAAGGGCCGGTGACGGGGCTTCGTGAACACTGGGTCGAGAAGAGGCTGCACTGGCTCCACGCTGCAGGTCGACTGGAACGGCAACCTGATCGCCGCGGGCTACACATCTTCCTCGTTGGATGGCAACACCAATGCCGGTTTCCGCGATGCTTTGCTCATGAGCTTCGACAGCACCGGCACCTGGCAATGGACCGTGCAGCGCGGAGGCTCCAGGGTCGTTCCTGCAAGTTAGTTTGAGTTTCTTGGAACGTGCCAAGAGAGGGACAGCAGACCGCAGAGCAGCGCCCGGAGCCCAGCCGTCCGCCCAGGCTCCGGCGATGATGACTTCCAGTCCCTGCAGGCCGGGAGTGCGGGTGAGCAGGGGCAGCCGGCTGTGCAGCGCCGTTTGCAGAGAGTTCGGAGCTCGAGGCATAATCTTATCGCAAGCTCATAGTGTGCATTGGCCCTGGCTGCAGGTGCATTTGCAGCAGCAGTTCCCAGCAAGAATGAGTAGCAGCAAGGGGAAGGCTTCCAGGGGCCTTTACAAATCTCCGGATCGCCCCCAAAACCCGCAAAGGAAAGGCCAAATACTGTAAAGATTGGCCATGCTTTTAGGATCTTTTCGCCCAGCAATTCCGGGAGGGTTCTGACGGTTCTGACCGTTGGATCTGTGCCAATAAACGCGATCCAGAAATGATCTCTGGGGCAGACTGGGGTTCATGGGCTAAGGCCCTGCGAGGCTACTATATAGGCTCCCACTTCGTTCGTGCATACCCAGAGGCCAGAGGCCTTAGCGAACTGACAACCGCCCCAAGTGCCAGGCTTTCTTGCAGGTTCCAGGTGGAAGGTTTCAAGTTTTTGCGCGCTGGAAACTTAAAGCTGCAGGCAAGGGCCGGTGACGGGGCTTCGTGAACACTGGGTCGAGAAGAGGCTGCACTGGCTCCACGCTGCAGGTCGACTGGAACGGCAACCTGATCGCCGCGGGCTACACACGGTCCTCACTGGATGGCTACACCAATGCCGGTTCATCCGATGTCTTGCTCATGAGCTTCGACAGCACGGGCACCTGGCAATGGACCGTGCAGCGCGGAGGCTCCAGGGTCGTTCCTGCAAGTTAGTCTGAGTTTCTTGCAACGTGCCAAGAGAGGGACAGCAGACCGCAGAGCAGCGCCCGGAGCCCAGCCCTCCGCCCAGGCTCCGGCAATGACTACTTCCAGTCCCTGCAGGCCGGGAGTGGGGGTGAGCAGGGGCAGCCGGCTGTGCAGCGCCGTTTGCAGAGAGTTCGGAGCTCGAGGCATAATCTTATCGCAAGCTCATAGTGTGCATTGGCCCTGGCTGCACGTGCATTTGCAGCAGCAGTTCCCAGCAAGAATGAGTAGCAGCAAGGGGAAGGCTTCCAGGGGCCTTTACAAATCTCCGGATCGCCCCCAAAACCCGCAAAGGAAAGGCCAAATACTGTAAAGATTGGCCATGCTTTTAGGATCTTTGCGCCCAGCAAATTTGGGAGGGTTCGTTGGATCTGTGCCAATAAACGCGATCCAGAAATGATCTCTGGGGCAGACTGGGGTTCATGGGCTAAGGCCCTGCAAGGCTACTATATAATCTCCCACGTCGTTCGTGCATACCCAGAGGCCAGAGGCCTTAGCGAACTGACAACCGCCCCAAGCGCCAGGCTTTCTTGCAGGTTCCAGGAGGAAGGTTTAGAGGTTTTTGCGCGATGCCGGCTCCCCGCTGCAGGTCGACTGGAACGGCAACCTCTTCGCGGCGGGTATGACAGAGTCCTCGCTGGATGGCTACACCAATGCCGGTTCATACGATGTCTTCCTCATGAGCTTCGAGGCCTGTGATGTCGTCACAGCGTCGCAGCGTAAACTTTCCTGCAGTACTGGAGCTTTTCGCGGGCTTCTGGGCTTGACACTGTTGCCCCTTGATTGCATCTGTGTGCCAGACAGTGCCGACACCCTGACCTGCGCAGGGAAGTCCGACCACCACCACGACCACCTCGACCACCACCACCAAGGCCTGGCATCTGCCAGCTGCGACGGTGAGTTAGGACCCCTGTGTGCGTCTCGAGCAGCGCCACCGCAACCCAGGTGCCCGGAGACTTTTTTTGTTATGTTTTTGGTGCGCGTGTGTGTTTTGCCAAGCGCTGGCAGACCTCGAGCAGCATGACCAGAACGAGTTCCACAACATCCACCGTCACCTGGGCTGCGCATGGCAGACCGCGCTATAGAGCCCTAAACATTATCGCAAAGCGCGTGCCCGCCTGGGCCGCCGGTGTGTTAGCAGTGGCAGCAGCAGCAGTTCCGGCAACAACTAGCGCCACGCCGAAAAGGGGCACTTCCGAGCGAGGCCACAGGGGCGGGGGGGAAGACAAAGATGACGGAATCTCCCCGTTTGTTGTGTCGAACGAAGAAAGGTTTTCTGTTTCTGGAACGAGAGTTTGAGCGGTCCTGCATCTCCTAGCACCTAGCACGGCAGCAGCGATCTCATTTGCCAGGATTTCCTATGCCTCTGAAGAAGTGAAAAGAAACTGCTCCCCCTCCTAACAAGAGAGTTGCCGAAGTTACCGTGTCTTCTAAGAAGAAATAAGACCTGAGCTGCCACCGAGGTAACCGTTACCTCGAGCACCACGGCCGGGACCTTGGACCTGTGGCTTCGTTGTCAGGCTCAGCTCTGCACATATCCCTCCCCCAGCTGCCCTCGAAAGAATGAGATTCTTGTGGACGGCGGCACTGGTGTTTAGCGTGATGTTTGAAGGCCAGAACTTGTCTTGAGCACGTGAGAGCGGGGCCGTAAAGTGGTGGAGCACTTCTGAGGCCACTGCTTCATCAACAACGTCCGCAACATCATCATCTTCCACGGGCACTGGCACAGCCACAACATCAACTAGCAGCACTGCCACGAGCACCAGCAGCACTGCCACTGCCACGAGCACCAGCAGCACTGCCACTGCCACGAGCAGTAGCAGCACTGCCACTGCCACGAGCACCAGCAGCACTGCCACTGCCACGAGCAGCAGCAGCACTGCCACTGCCACGAGCAGCAGCAGCACTGCCACTGCCACGAGCAGCAGCAGCACTGCCACTGCCACGAGCAGCAGCAGCACTGCCACTGCCACGAGCACCAGCAGCACTGCCACTGCCACTGCCATGAGCACCAGCAGCACTGCCACTGCCACGAGCAGCAGCAGCACTGCTACTGCCAGCACCCGCAGCAGCACTGGTACCGCCACTACCCGCAGCACAACTACGAGCAGCGGCACTGGCACCGCGACTACGAGCAGCAGCAGTACTAGCGGTGTTGGCACAACCACCATCGAGGCCAGAGCGTCACAGTCAGGAGCCCAAAGGAGCCGCACTACTTCACCGCTTTGTGCAGGTCAGCTCAGCCGACCCTGGAGGTGTGGTCGTATCGCAGCACTGCGATTCCGAGACTCTGATACCTCGGTAGGGCTTTGCCAGGACTGCGTTGCCCTGCGGGACAACGTGCGGGAGACCCAAGCGCCCACCGTTGTTCAGCAGCCTGCGGTCCAAAGTTGACGCCAGGCCTGTTCCATCACAGCCTACGACCTTCATGGCTGCGGCCCCGGAATCTGCAGAACCAGCAGAGAGTGAGGGGCTGCTCGGAAGAACGACGAGGCCAGCCGACGGACCTGCCACCGCCCGAGTGGCGTTGCCTGAACTCGTCTTTGCTCAGACCCCAGATTGTAAAGCTTCCAATGCCATGAGCATTTTATGATTTTGGTCGGACGGTTGATGTTTAGATGGTTTTGGCCAAGTGACCTTGTTATTTCTGAGTTTGGAGCAGTACTGACCATCGCATCGGCGATTCGTAAGTGGTCCCCTAAGGCCCCTTGTTCCGCACAGCCTTTGAACCACGAACCAAGACCGTGCCCCTGCAACGACCTCCACGAGTGGATCTGCCGGGATCTCAGGCCGTTTAGCGAAGGTGCGTTGTTGATGATGATGGTGGCGATGATGTAAGCACTCCCCGGGAGTTGAATGAGTTATCCCCGAACGGGTCCTCGTCCCAAAGGCCGCCTCTGCGGATTCAGCACCGCAGCGTACTCGCAACATCATGAGGCTTGTAACGTCTTCATCGATTGCGCATCTTGTAGATTTTGTACTCGACTCACACCCGCCTGCACCAGCACGCCACACGTTGTTTCCCGTCAGCATTGCCGCATTGCGGTATAAGTCCCGGCAGTCTGCTTTAGAGCCATCCTGCCGTCGTCAGACAGCAGGATCGCAGAGCCTTAAGACATGCACTTCGTCCTGCAATGACATGAGAGGCGTTCTTCGTTCTTGAACGTTGCAGTTGCACGGCTCAGGCCAACCCAACAACTCAACGTTGTTCTGCCAGCCCAAGATTCTCGGGCCCTGTCCCGTGCACGCCGGATGCATCTACTGTCATTGGTCGGACGAGCTGAGTCGTGCCAGAAGTGCGATGGGTCATCGCTTTGAGGTACTGCAGCGCTGAGGAGCGCCTCGATCGGATTCGGCCGTCTGTGGTTGTCCATGTGGCAAGAAGCGAACTTGTGCGTGGCCTCCTTCCATCCTCACCTTATGGCTTCGAGGCTCCCATGCTGGTCAACCCCCTACGACGCAACGCGGCGGCATGTCTCGACCTATCGAGTACTGGTGCCGGCACCTGCGGCCCTGAGGACACGGGCCGAGTCGATGGTAGCCAGTTGCCGGAGAAGAGCTGCCACGCAGCAGTTACAGGCCCTGTTGCATACTTTAAGCAACACAGGGCTTGCGTTCGGTTTGGCAGTTTGGCAGGCTGCCCCTGCGACGACACCTGGGAGAAGAGATGTGAGTTCCAGGGCCTATCTGTGTGCTATCCCAAGGCCCAAGACTGTCCCCTGGCCGCAGCGAAGCCGTTGATGGCCGTAGCAGGTAAGGAGCCTTCAGTCTGGTCTTCAGAATGAACATACCCAAAAAGAAGAAACAAGGGATGGCATGCCTCACCATGTCACGTGGGATCCCGGAACAAAGGTCCCCTGGAATGCGGCGACTATCCTGTTTGCTATCACGCTTCGGGTGCTTTGGCCTGGAAGAAGGAGTTCAGATCTCAACGATCTCGTGGTCTTTGCCTGTTGGGTTCACAGCAGACCCCACAGCCTTGACGCTTCGACGCAGGCAACAAGAGCTGTGCCGACAGTGCTGGGTGTAGCTGCGAAGACAACGAGCACCAATGCCAAGACCAGGACGTGCAGGGAAGGGTGTCAAACCGGCGGCCAGCTTCTGCCAGTGCCAGTAGGGCAGGGCCTTCAAATCAGCTGTAGCATGTGCGGTGAAAGGCCCGAGAGCGACCGTGCCTTCAGGATTCGGGTCTGTACATCTGCCTGTGGAAGGCACGCAGGGTGACAGCGGTGCTTGCTCAAGAAGGAAGAACAAACGGCGCTCGCAACAGTTTGCACAGGAGCGGTTCCCGGGCTGCCCGAAGACTTGTGGAGATGACCAGCTCTGCAGCAAGACGTACTTTGCGGAAGGAATGCAGCCGCCCGGCCAAATGAAATGCTTCAGGCACCCTGGCGAAATCCGCTGTTCATAGCCCGAGGCGCTTCGAGGAGGAGTGCTACCCCGGACCCTGCCCAGACCCGTGGTGCGACAGCACTGCCAAGCAGCTTCTGGGACTTGAGAGACGAGACGTTTAGACAGTTTAGACGATTGGAGACGGGTGAGGCATGTGCGGCATAGGTGTTAACGCGAAGCAGCACGGCATGGCTACTTGACAAGCTGAGGTGTGCTGGTTCTTCCGGGACCTTCTGCATCCCTCTGGAGCTCGACTGCCCTGAAGTATGTCAGGGGCAAGAATGTCGTGTGGCTCCTTGGTGAAGATTCACCGATGCAGCGCCTGCGTCTGCCTGTGGCTTTGCGCTGCCCGTCGGCTTGAACACAGCAGCGACAGCTCAGCGAAGCTAAAGTAAGGACAACTTCGACGAGCAAGGACGATTGCAGAGCTCTTCCACTACATGACACCCAGCTGGAAAAGCCACGGCAGCCCCATTGTCTCAATCCTGTGCACGCAGCGCAGTGTCACGTTCTAGGAAACTGTTGTTTCGCCGCTATCCTTTGCCTCTTCAGGCATTCCTGATGGAGAAGACTGCACTTGCGGTGACAATGCTCTTCGCTGCGGCGGCCAGGGTGTGGACTTCTGTGCGGCAGTGCTTTGGAAAAAGTTGGAAGCCTTCCTGGGCTCGGGCTCAGTGTGAGATGTGCGCTAAGACATCTTGAGGCGAGCGAAGGCTGTCCGGAGACCTGCGACCTGGTCACCCACCGTTGGTGCTATGGCCTGTCCTTCACAGCTGATGGCCGGCCGACCCAGCTGTGCAGCGTTCAAAACCCTATATACCTGTGGGAGTTTATATAGACGTTAAAATTCATTGGTCCGCGTCAGCTATTGTTCGGTGCGCGGCATTGGCGCGTCAGCGACCGCGTCAGTGAATACCGAAAATGCCGGCGCGTCAGATTTTCCGCAGCGCGTGTCAGGAATGCGATAGCTTCTAGCCATCTTTTTGGAACAGCATGGCAGAAGAGTATTGAACACCGCACAGCTTGTCCAGATGCGCAAGTTCCCCAAGTGTCGCAAAGCCGCGGATCGATACCGTCTCACTGCCTCTTATGCCGTCTGTTTATTACCAACGGATCTGGGCCTGAGGCCAGCGCGACCCAAGCATACCGATGGTGACGAGTTGCGTCGCCAACTCGCAGCCGGCACCTCACGGCTTGGAGCTTGTACCGCGTTGTGCTTCGCTTGCCATGAGCGTGGCTGCAAGGCCGTGCGTCTGCGGGGAGCATGCGATGGCATGCAACTGGACGGCGACTTGCCAGAAATTCCGGAAGAGTCTGCGCTGAACCTGCTGCACCTGCAAGCTTCAACGAGCTCAGGCTGCAAGAGGGTGTGGAGCTCAGTCGTTGTTCTGCTGCAGCTGCTGCCTGTCGGAAGCAGTCACGAGGTCTCAGAGGGAAGAGTGCTTGCCAGCAGCTGATTCCTGTCCTGAAGTCTGCGTGGGCGAGACCTGCATCATTGTCGCACCTTGGATGAGAGCTCGAGTCATGCATGTTTTGCAGAATGATTGAAATCCTTCCGCAAGGAAGCAGTTGTGCCAAGCTCACGCAAGCCACAGCATAGGGAAGCGGGGTAGGAGCTGGGAAGCCGTCGAATCCGCTCAGGACTACACTGTTTCCGGTGTGATTCAGGGCATTCGAGAGGAGTGCCTAACCGCCGACGTGGTCTGCCCGTGTGGGCAGAACGCCGTGATGTGCGGTGCGGGCCAGGACCTTCCGGGTCTGCAGTCCAAGCAGCCAACTTGAGATTCAAACTTAATGATTCACTAGACTGGGAGCCTCTGATCTCTGAATTCCTTGCGCATGCCAGTTCTTTCTCGAATCTCGAAGGCCTCCGTGAGGGCGAAGTTTCCAGTTTCTAAAGACCGGGGCCCCGTAGCGGTGATGTGGTGAGTTCGGCACAGGAATCCTACTGCCTTCCGCGAGGCTTTGCTGCAGGAAGAGCTGTGGCTTGCACGACATGGCGAGCGCGGTCTGTTTGTTTTGGATTTCGATGCTGTGACTGATATGAGGTCTCGGGATCAGCCGTTGTCCCCTGGTCTGTCCAGACGGTGAAGAGCCCTGCTACCGACCGAGCAGCTGGGACGAAGAGGATTTCAGTGCTCCTTGAGATGGAGTCAGCGTCGGGTTTCGTAGGGGAGACGGCGTTCATTTTTTCTTCTAGGATGCCCTGCCCCTGCCCGGTGAGTCAACGCCCTGCACGAGTCGGCTGACTGAGGAAGTTACCCAGTAGGGGCGAGTACAAGACCCATGCAAGGGTTTCCTTACCCCGCCCGGCCTGACCGCACCGTTTGCATGATTGGTGAGGTTTTGATGCTCAGGGCAATCACTTACCCGCAGAAGAGACTTGTGAGCCCTGGCAGAAAGACTGAGTCCTCGCAGATTGATGCTTGCTTGACAAGCTTGGAACCTCTTTGCCGCCCACCTGACCACCCGCAACCTTGCAACATTGGGGCTGCTGAGTCGTCAGGTGCCAATCGGGACCGGGTGCGGCTGTGGACAGGGCTCCTTCCCGTGCAGCACTGTGCCCCTCCTGCACCATGAGCTTCGGCATGCCGCATCCCCAAATGAGCTCGGCTTTCATGTAAGGGCCAGGGCGAAGCAGAGTGCCTACCACTGGGAGGTCGGTGGCGGTCGCATGGCTACGTTGTAAATCGTGGTACCAGTTTGCGTAACAAAGGCTTGCGCTGCTGGTGTGTGCAGGCTACTGTCCGCCCTGCGCACCTGGTGAAATCGAGTGCCCGCTTGTGCAAAACTTCTTCCCGGACGGCATGGAAGGCAGCGGCTTGGCTGCCTTGGCACGAGCTCAGAAAGGCCTCCGGATGTTTGCGCGCTGAGCACGGAGGCACTTGGCAGGAGCCTGCTGTCGGCATGTCATCTTACGAGTAGCCGCGAACTGCGTTTGGGGATCTCAGGCATGGTGCCTCCCAACAGGCAGTGTGCCGGAAGCCTGCTCGACTGCCCATGTGGGCATGGGGCGGCAATGTGCCCAGCCCTCAATCGCTGCATCTTCAAGGCAGCTGGAGGGCCGGCATTGGATGGGGGTAACTGTTCCAACTCCTCCGCACGAAGAGCCCCCACCAGCTTGAAGCAGCGCTCTTGCCGGATCGATCTCATAAAACGCCGGTCCTCTCTCGCATGAAGCATCATCAGAATACGCCAAGACTTCACAGGGTGCGGCCTGCTGTGCGATTGATGAGAAGATGTGTGTCGTCGTGGATTACACTTCTGACGGCAACATCACAGGCAGGTGCCTGAAGACGAGCGCTAGCAGCCGGCAAGGTGTGGGGAGACTTGTGGCAGGTACTCGCGAGATCTGCTGGGCACCGACCGCGCCGTGTCCCTGCGGCGCAAACGCACAGCGCTGCCCCGGAGCAGAGCTTTGCCTCCCTGCGTTACCAAGCTCCGGAAAAGCCGCTGATAAACGGGGTTTGCTGTAACTAAGTCTTTATTGATTTCTTTCTCCGTCTCTAGCTTGCTCTGTAGATGAGGTCGTTAGTCCTCCGTCAGATTTGGCAGTTGTTTTTGCGCAGTGGCACGCAAAGCTGTTGGACGAAGCGTTCAGGCGGTGTACATGTGATATATCCATCCACAGCCACTCCAGTTTCGGTGGCGACATGGTGTCCAGCAGGTTGCAGAAGGCCGACGTGTGCCCTTGCGAGCATTGGCAGCTCTATGGCAAGAAGGGTTGCATGCCGAAGTGGCGCATTGCTTCCTCCGGCTTTCTCTTAGGCAGAAAGCCTGCGAGATCACGGAGTACAGCACGACAGGCCAGGTGAAGTCTCCCCACCTGCATCTTCCGGGCGTCAGCCTGACACTCCTTCCGTGCTTCCACGCAGGCGTGCCAGAGATGTCTTGGAAGCTTTGCGTGGACAAGGAAGCGCCTTGTCCGTGCGGCCAGAATTCGCCGATGGCCAAGACGACCACCTTCGGAATGCCTCCGTGTCCCGGCCATGGCAACTTAGGCTGCGCTGCCCAGACCCACTGGACCCAGGCTCAGTGCTGGCTTGCAACCTGCATTGGATGCTCTCTCAGCAGCTTCCTTGTGGTCACTCTTTCCAAGGATGCGAACGGCACCCTGTGCGTGGCAAAAGCCATCAGTCGCATGGCTGACTTCCTGGTGCTGTCGCTGAATTCGCTGGACTCCATCCACACATCCAGCCCTGCATGTTTACCAATCCAAGCCACTTTCTGAGCCGGAATCATGTAGGTTGCCTGAACCCAAGCAGCTTCAACAGAATCGCGCTGGAGCTGTGACGAGATTCGGCAACGGCGTTTCTGAAGTGTGTTGTGTAACAACAGACTCGGCACCATGAAAGTGGAAAAGCTCTGACCTGTCCCGAAGACGTTCACCTGCGAGTTGCCCGGAGACGCCCAGGTGGCATTGCAAACTCCTGTCCGACTCCATGCTCCCAAGAAGAGTGGGCTCGAGGCAGCCAGACTTGCGTGCAGCTTCCTGGATGCAGCAAGGACATGTCGAAGATCAGATGCGCTTCGTTCAGCATGTCTGGCCTTGCATGCTACATCGAATCAGGCTGTACACGGTCCGGTAACGCGCGTGTAGATGGCTTTCTCAGCCTCAGCACCGCATCCCGGAAGGGCATTCTCATATCTGTGCAAACGCAGTGGTGAGTGATAAACAGGAGCATATACGTGTTGCCGCACAAACCCTCCTCTGCGGCGCCTTTGGGGGAGTTGGACACATGAGGGATTCATCCAGAGAGGCCCAATCGCTGGCGAATACCGTTTGCGGGGTTTGGCGGGAGGCGGAGCGATTAGTCAGCATAATGTATCGCGACCTCTAGTGACTCTAGTGGCTCTAGCGGTTGGGTAAGGCTTCTGTTCAGTTCTTCTGAGCTGCTTTCACTGCTGTGTGTGTGTGTGTGTGCGTGCTTAGGTTTGACATCCTCTCTGAGACCCGGATCATCCAAAGAACGAGCGCCTCATATGAACTCTCTTGACTGGCTTTGCACTTTCAACATTGCTTCGCATGTGGTAGTGATGGATCAAGATTCCATTGCCCGATTGCCCATTTCTTGAAGGCTCCTGCCGACCGCCACACTCCTGGACCTCAAACTCAGTTTTTTTTCGCCTGGTCAGGTTGCTTGCCGTTCGGACGTTGCGACGCCGGCACGTCAATGAAGACCTGCCAGGGGCCCGGTGGGTTACGTGCCCGAAGCTGCGTGGAATCAGACTCTCCTTCGTTGCAGGTCCTTCTGGTGCCGCTCTACCTGTCTGGCAGCGCTGTGGGCTGGGTCCTGCTTCCAGAGGCAATACCAGCATTGAGGTGCTGGAGGTTGCAAGGGCGAGCCTTGCAAAGCAGCAATGGGAGGGGTGGGGGGGAGACTTCTTGGCGAAATTGGCTTGGGAGGGGGAGGGAAGAAGCTCGAGCCATGACGGATCAAGACGGCAGCTCAGGATCATACCGATGGACCGGCCAGACCCTTAATGCCTGAGCAAAGATCTGTTCTGCGAGGCAGCGGAGTGTTCTGAGGTTGCGGACGGGCGCGAGAGAATCTTTAGCCGCGGCGGGACTTGAACTCCGATTCCTGCTCGAAATCCCAAGCGAGCGCCTTCGGTGGCTTTTAGTTCTGGGATTCTGCTGAATCGATGTGGTGTGTTCTTTGTGCTGGTGCACTTCCTCAACTCTGTTTTGGAGAGCGTGAGACCGCTGCCTACGGCTAGACGTGAATCCGACCAGGCTGTGCAAGATGCATGCAGGGTGAGAAATCAAAGCCTCGTCGGCGCGGAATGAGAATGCAAAACGATAGACTGTGAGCAACATCACATGATAATCCTCCTTCTCAACCGCTACGCCGTTGCACAAGGACCCTGAGCACTTTTTCAATATGTAATGAAGGTAAGTGCTGTGGAAGAAGGAACAGCAGCTGCAGACATCGAAGCCTGCTAGTTCTGCAATCTATCTGGCTTTTCAAGGGGTGCGTCTCCGTCTCAGGATGACAACGGCCATCAGTTTGTCAGGCAAGATCCTTTCGCTACTTGGCTGTATGATGAAACCCACAGTGGAGTTGGTGTTCGCATTCGGCCTAAGGTTTGCGGTCACTGGCCCAGCTCGATCAGGACTGGCAGAGCCAACCAGAGAAAGCTGGCAGTTTCTGCCCGAGCATGGCCAGGGAGAGAGTCCGCTAGCGGGGAGTGAAGGATGTACCTGCGGTCCCGCCCTCCTCCTCAAGCCTGGAGAGAGAGTGCAAAATTCCACTACACAATCTAGACAGTGACAGCAAGCTAACTGGGATCAATCGCTTTCCACCGTCAGACACTCGGACAGCATTCCTTTGTGCGACCAAGCAGTCGTCCAGTCCCGATCTTGAGCCAATGCCATTCGGCAGTGTTGCATTCATAAAACGCATCGTGAACATTAGGGGGCGCATTGGGCTCGTGTCATTTAACACAGTCCCTTGATCTTGATTTCAGTCGAAGATCATTCAAATCAGGATTTGCTCAAATCCGAAAAGGCTCTTGTGGAAGCACATTGCACTGCACAGTCGTCGATGTGCTCACAGTCGAGGCATGTTCTGTACCACATTGAATCCGAGAACTTCATTTTCCGCAGCCCACAGAGGAAATCCATTCAACATTTATCATTTCCAAAACGTGTAGCAGTCGATAAAGGCACTCCTGGATTAACAGCGGCTCAGTGCGTCTCACTTCTTGGAGGTCAGTCTGAGGACCAAATCTGCTCCAGGATTCAGAGCATTCGCAACGTGGGAGAGAACAGTCGCGGGACCATTCGATGACGTCGCCATGTTCCTCATCTTGGAAGACATTGCGACAGTCGAAACAGTCGGGACCCTCCATGCATTCACATGCTCACCGTCATCGTCGTCATACAGATCATCCCAGGTAGAGCAATCGTGATGCAGTCCGGAACCTTCGGCTTGGACCACAGGGACCATTGTGTGCCCCATCAGTCGCCATTCGATCAGACCGCTGTGGCGAACAGTGGCCAGTCGGTTCCACTCAGTCATTTCCGCGAGACTGAGCAGCGGCGGGCCATTCGTTCGGCACATCATCTCATGACTCATGGGCATTCGGAGGATGCCCATGCTGTTTGAGGAGGCCTCATCCGGGACAGTCCAAATCCACTTCTTCCACACGTCTGCCAGTCCCTCAATTTTCTCGTCCTTCCCCAGGTAGCCATTCTGAGTTGAGACGTGGTCAGTGAACTTACGATCAAAATAATGCGTCAGCTTCATCTTCTTGGCGGCATTCTCCGCTTCAACCCATTTGCGCTTGGCATCAGTCTCGCTCCTTCTTCTCAGAACAAAGTCCAGTCCTTGGCGGTGGGCATTCTCGTCGAAGCAATTCTGGCAATACCATTGCGCAGTCTCACGCACTGCGAACAATGCACAAAAGCTGCCATTCAGCTGATGGCATGGGAAATTTGACAACTCAAAGGTGCCAGTCTTGAAGTACTTCTGGCCAACATTCGCTGGAAGCATGACCCAGTACACACTGACCAGCTCGTCAGTCGCATTCTCCTTTGCATGGGGGGAGATCTTCCATTCCAGGTGCCAGCTTCCTTTGGTAAGAAACATTCTCTCCGCCTTGGTCATCGCATACCAGGCAGTTTCCACCATGCATTCATTTGGACCATTCTGCGCCGGGGTAATACCCAGGCTGTTCATTCTCAGTCGCAAGCTCGACATTGGACCATTCGGATGTTCATCCGGATACTCAAATCTGCATCCTGACAATCCTCCACTCCTCGTTCCAGGAATCAACAGGGAGAGGATCGGAGCCCATTCGTCATTCCACTCACGGCGGTAAACAACCTCAGCCAGTTCGACTTGGGCATTGTGCAGTCGGGTGGCGAGCGCATTGCCATCCATTTCCGTCTTGTCGCATTCGCTTTGGAAATCGGGCAATGACGACTTGGCAACATACTCATCCAATCGCTGCCAAACATTCGTCACGGCTTTGCCAAAGTCCATTCTGGACAGTGCAGCTGACACTTCCCGATTCACGGGTCCATTCCTTGACAATCGGTGCGTCGTCAAGGTCTCATTCATCAGGTGCAAGGATTCGACGGGGATGTCATTCGAGCCAATCTTGCCATTACTCTTCTTCTCAACCGGGGGCAGTGTTGCATTCGGTGCCACTCCAGCAGAGGCAGAAGCAGTCTGCTCCTCATTCGGCCTAGTAGAGACATTCGGCATGGTGACAGCTGGATCAGTCACCGGAGACGGGAGGATGCCCAGTGCGGCATCAATGCGCTGATCTCCTTGCAGGGCCTCAATCGAGTTATCACTCTCAATCTCAGCCTCAACCGTCAAGACATTCGCTCCAGGAGGGGCATTCACTCGCTCAAAGGCAGTCGGTCGAACCATTGTTTCGCTCGGGCACTTCGCCCATCAGGTGAAGTGCAACCAGTGTGGATTGCATTCCATCGTTCCTGATCTCTTCCACAGGGCGGCCAGTCAAGGCTGCCAAGTCCACTGCCAGTTGCTCTCCAGCAATGCTCTCATGCGGATTCGGCATTGTGGGGTTGGCCATTGCTACACTCGAAGAAAGGAGGCAGTTGCACCGGCACTCAGGACACTCTACAGTCGCACTAGGAAGCAATCGAAGGACACATTTCGAGGCAACACATTGATCTCGTTCAGCAAGGAAATTGTCTCAGACAGTCCCTTGCAGGTCAACCTTCTGCAATCACTCGACTCGGCATTCGACGAAACGCCCTCGACTCGGCATTCGACGAAACGAGAACGAAGAAACTATTTCCGACAGATCCCATTCGAGATCGGAAAACTGAACATTCTTTCAGTTCGGCCATGAAAAACAAACCACCCATTCTCTCTTCTCTCTTTCTTTGGTTTTGGGCTTTTCAGGGAAGCACAAACAGTGCATATTCAGTCATGACAAGCAGTCGGCTTCACTTTACTTTAGACGAGACAGTGTTGACATGTTGCGTTCACTCACTCAAGGACATGCACACACTGCTGCAACTGCAATCGGAAGCTCATGCACTCAGCCCTCGGCGTGGACTTCAGTCCAACGACGCCCAGAGAAGCATGTACGCACAGTGCACGCAGAGTACATGCACGCGCAGTGGAGAGAACGCGCGCAGGGTTTGGGCGGGCGGGGCGGGCGGTGAACATTCAAGGCGGCAACATGATCATCAGTTTCATGAGCATCATAAACCGCTTGAACCAATGTGAGAAACCACTCCCAAGTGGTCTTCAATCTTTGGAACACATCAGTGGCAACATATTTGGTGATTAGGTCTGCGCGACTCCGCGTGCCATCAGTCTTTGCCATCTTCAGCAACTCCATTTGCACCAAATTCTGCACATATAGGAACCGCAGTTCCACGTGCTTTGTTTTCCCAGTGCCAAATCGGGTTTCCATTGACTTACCTGCAGTAGAGTCAGTGTGAGACTTTCTTCGCAAGCTTTGCTTCAAGCAACATTGGCCGAAGAAACAGTGCTTCAGACATTCCTTGGCCACTCGCCTAAAACTCCGCTTCGCCGGAAGACAATGCCAATGTACCTTGTGTTCTAGCAGTGCTGACCATATTGCACCCAAGAACATTCACAGTGGATCCACTGGTTGATCTTCCTTCTTTGAGCAACCAGCCCAGTCAGAACCCACATAAGACATTCACATCCAACATACAGTTGCCGTCAGACAGCTGATAAGATGGACGCAGTCTCAGAACACACATGTTGGTACCAATCAGATACTGCAACAAATGCTTAATTAAGTTTAGCGACACTCTGCATTGTCGGGCAGTCACATCCCGACTCAGTTCTTTAGTCGCATAAGCAATGTCGCCTCTGATCAGTGCCAACCAAAGCAGTTTGCCAACTGCAGGCCTGTACACTTTGTTTTCCTCAGGACTCAGAGGTGTACCCGAAACAGTCCTGACAATCGTTGCAGAACCAGTCGTCGCAACGTGATTGGCACTCTTCATTCCATACAGATCCAGGATAGAATCAATGTATGTCTGTGACATGCATACGTCAATCGAATCGCCATTATGTCGCAATCTACTGCCAAGAAAAGTGTGCTCAGTCCCTGGCGCAAGCTGGCCGGTTTCTTTGAGCAGAACCCCTTCTGACAGTCTGGACATAAAGTCCTTGCGCATGTCGCCAGTCCCTACGACCAACAAATCATCAACATATGTAAACACATCTGACAGTAGAGGTTAGGATCACTCTTACATCTCCTGAATCCCATTTTTGATGTCATTGCCTCAGCAAAGTGCTCTTGCCACAGTTTCGGAGCCTGTCTCAATCCGTACTCCGTCACCTTTGGGTTGCCATGGCACTGACAACAGTTTTGTCACTCCAACCGCATTCCATTGCTGAGAAGGCGTTTTCCGTTTTTTCGTTTGACAGTTCGAACCTTGAAGACTCCATTCGCATTTCCAAGGATGGTCTCATCTGCCTCAGTGTCCTTTCCTAGGTACACTCCGGAGAACCATTGTGATCCTCCTTTAAAAATCTTCATTTTTGTACTAATAGGCAGTTTAGTGTCAATCCACTCACCAAACATGCACAGCGATCCATTGTACTCGCGAGACCGTCTTGCAACCAGGTTGATCAACCATGGCGCATGCTTCACGCAGGAAGCAATTCAGGTTAATCAACCATTGCGCATGCTTCACGCAGGAAGTGAACATTGGTGATTCAGAGGTCAACTTCAAAACAGTAGAATCTTGCACTTGCGACATCAGTGTACGCAGTTGACCATACAAGGTCCTTTGCACGTTGCCGACACTGCCTTGACTCTGCGAGTGTCCAGTCCATATTACAAGCATCGACAATCCACCAATCGTCTTGTAAAGGTCTTTGGCAATCACCTTCAGCGAGTTCTCCTTGTCATACTGAACAATTCCAAAAGTTCTTCCAATCTCAAACACAAACCGACGCAGTTCGGCTACTGTGTATTTCTCAACGCTACCCTTCGCAGGTATAGCCAGTCTGCACATCAGTTGCATTCAAGATTGTCCTCTTCCCGAAGATCATTCTCCGTGGACAAAAAGGAGAAATCAATCTGTTTCACTGGTTGTCGGTCGTTCTTCTTCACTGCATGACTCGTCGACCCTTCGACTTGACACAGGGATCGCACCAGTCACGATAGGGAAGATGAGTCAACTCATGCAGTCCTCGTTCACTCTCCGACGGTTCACCAGGAACCTTCAACATTCTCGGCATGTTCACCAGCAGTCGGTCGATCAAGGGGAGAAAGCAATGTATATCCAATCCACGTGTGACCAGTTGAGCCTCTCGGGTCATCGCACGTCTTGACAGTACCATCGGGCATCTCGATGTCAGCCCATTCATTTGGATGGCCAGTGTCAACCTGCGACGGGTCACTCGAATCGAAAAACATTGTATATGGATCACCCCACAGGCAATCACTCAACAATCCATCAACAGGTGAAGGAGCATCATCAGGGTGGAAGTAACAGTCCTCCCACTCGTGATGCATTTGTATCCAATAACGAGGAAGCATTGTCCACCGGTCAGCAGTCCGGGGTGCTGCAGTCTTTGGGTTCTCGAGATTGAACACTTGCAGCAACAACTCCTTGATTCTGCTGCCATGTTGTGGCAGTGATCGCAAGGCATTCTCCAACTCATGTTCCTCAACATTCCGACTAACTCTCTTTTGACGTTCAAGCACTTCAGGCTCAACATTGGCTTTATCGACAACCTCAGCTGGGTCATCGGACTTTTGGAATTCAATGATGAGTGAAATTTCGGACTGAAGTATAGACCACAACTGAGACACGTGCAGAAGACTGCACCATGCCCATGTGATCCAATGATCGGACGTGATAGATCTGAAGTTGTAAATGGAGACGTCCTCGCCATTCCTTGGAATCCTTCGGCCTTGTATTCTTCATTGCCTTGCGCTACACTCGAACATGTCGCATCAACTTCATTTCAGACTCTTTCACTTCCCACATGTCCCAGCAAATCCCTTCTTTGGACTTCGCACCTTGAGCTGCTGCAATCAGAGCTCCAATCTCTGGAACAAGTGGTCAATCGACCCATCATGCATGTCCGACGCTCCACGCCGTTCAACAGATCCAAGTTCAAGCTCAATCCCAGTCATCACTTCTGGATTCTGGAAGACAACTCGCTGCCATTCTTGCCGCATCTGCCACGGCATATGGCGTGACAGTCGGTGTCAAGTAAACCAATGTTCCTTGATGCACAACCGGCGCGGGGTTGCCAGTTGGATCAATCAAGGCCATGTAGCCCTTGGCCATAGCTGTCCAAAAGTCTTGCAATATCAGTCGGGCGACACTCGCCAGTGGGAACGGTATCCCAGTGCACACGTAAAACTGCACACTCAACGAGTGGCCATTGCCACAATCAGGTTGCACAATCTTACGACCTTGCACATCCAGTGTCTTTCCAGACAAGCTACGCAGTGATGGGGCACTCTCATTCAACGGCAAAACAGGGTAGCCCGGAGCAAACCATCCCGGACAGCAGTTCGCACAAGCTCCGCTGTCGAACAACATCCATCATTTGTCCACCAGTCCTGCCTGCATGTGAAACTCGACCAGTCTGTCGTCACAACTCAGGTGAGCATTCTCAGGTACATGTCGGTTAGGCACCGGAGGTACTCCAGCACTCAACGCACCAATCAGCAAGCAAGCTCCGACAAACAGGTTCGTCATCATTCCAGGTTTCGCGCCTCGAACAGTCCTGGATGGTTTTGCTGCATTCTGATCCTGAGTCTCGACAGTCACGGCCGCAACAGTCTGCAATGGCTCACTCTTGATGGGATCCTGTGGGACAGTCGCAGTGCTTTGCGAACCTGACGATGCACTCGCATTCGGTTGCTCAACACTCCACCAATCCTGAGAACCCCAAGACCAGTGATCGACCAGTAGCTCCAGTCATCTTCGGACCGAGACCAGTCACCAGACCAATCATCAAGAGAACCAATCCAATCCTGATTCCGTTCATAATCCCAGGACCATTCATCACCATACCATCCCGCATCATTGTTCCATTCCGCTGAGTTTCCTTCATGTTGTCCTTCTTCCTCAATCAAAGCTGACACTCTTCCTTTACGTTTGGGGCATTCCTTGCTCCAGTGGCTCGGATCGCCACACAGAAAACATCCTTGTCCATTCCCTTTTCCTTTGCTGTATGCTGAACTCATTCCTTTTCCTTTCTTTCCTTTGTGTCCTTTGCTCCTTCCTTTGCCCTTTCCTTTGTACATTCCTTTTCCTTTGAATCCTTTTCCTTTGCCTTTGTACATTCCTCCTTTTCCTTCTCCTTTGTATCCTTTCCTTCCTTTCGGTGCTCCAATATCCTTATCGACTGGACCGTCATTCCTGCTTGGCACAACCAAGCGACGACTTTTTATATAACTGTAAACAATCTCAAGCGCCTCAGTGAGTGTATTGATGTTCCTGATATTCAGCCTCAGCTGCCGCTGCAATGGGCCAGCGGTTTTCTGCATGATCAACGTGATCAGCAGATCACTGTCCAAAGGCACTCCACTCGTCTTCTCATGTCTGTTCTTCAGTATGATGAAGTCACTCATATCACTCTCAAGGCGGTCACTCTGCAACCGAAAGGCAATGATCTCATTCACGAGATTCGTCGCACGAGCCCGGCTATGTAGTCAGAATTGGTTGAACAGTCGACGCCAAATCTCAAAACCATTCTCCGTGTCTTCGTTGCTAACAATCGCTCTAGCAGCTCCGTCAGTGATCTGTGCCAACATATATGCCTATGGTTTAGCAAGCAATGACATTCGGTTGTTCTGTGTCTGCGTCTGCTGTACATCGTAAGCTTCGCGCAGTCCATCAGTGACAACCTTCGTTGCTTTTGTCTCAATCTCATCCATCAGCGTCTTGGCCAGTGGCTTGTACAGTCCTACATATCTTTTGATCTGCCATGACCAATCATCCCATTTTCCAACACTCCATGGTACGCAGGTGGCGGGAACAATTTCAGTTCTCCACCAGTTCCTCTCTGTCCGAAATCCATTCATTCTCACTCCTTCCCTGGTTCCAGAGCCGAAGCTCCGCTACCATGCAAAATTCCACTACACAATCTAGACAGTGAAAGCAAGTAACTGAGATCAATCGCTTTCCACAGTCAGACGCTCAGACAGCATTCCTTTGTGTGACCAAGCCTTCGTCCAGTCGCGATCTTGAGCCAATGCCGTTCGGCATTGTTTCATTCATAAACATGCATCGTTCGGCATTGTTGCATTCATAAAAATGCATCGTGAACATTAGGGGGCGCATTGGGCTCGTGGTATTTAACAGAGAGACAGAGAGACAGAGAGAGAGAGAGAGAGAGAGACAGAGAATGACAGAGAATGTGTGTGGGAGATAGTGAGAGCCTGGCCAGGACAGCTTGGCCGTGCAAAGAGGCGATTGCAGGGCAATGCAGGCAGCCTGCTTGCGTCAGAATTTGCTCTTCCACTTGATCGCATAAGACTAGAGTCCTGCATGGATGACGTAGCACAATCTGCCATGCGGCCCTTCTTTGATGTCTAGGCATCTGGGAGGATCCCGGCGACTTCATCTTGCGCCTGAGGGACAAGGTCCAGGGAAGTGAACGCTGTCTGAAGGTGACGCTCCGGACAGACCGGCTTGGTGTGGCAGGCAACTCGCAGAAGCCCGGCGTTGTGGCAAACTCTGGACCCTGTTGGTGTACCGCTCGTGTGCTCCTCAACAAATCCCCTTGGTCTCTGATCAAAGCTGCAAGCTGCAGCAGCTTGCATCCGTTGAGGCATTTGCCAGCATTGACACGCATCACGTCCCGCTGGTGCCAGAGGACTGTCTGCCTGTAATTGGGCCGAAGAGTGCTCAGGAAGGCCATCTCTCTCGTCACGTCATCACTGGGAAAGTGACGGGGAGGAACCCACGAACCAGCGAAACCCCTGAACTGCGCACTCTTCTTGAGTCCTGATCCTCACATGACGATGGCTTTTACTACGGGTACCAAAAAGTTGCCAGGCAGCTGACAGAGGTGGGGCTTCCCACGAGAAGCCAAGAATGAGGATAGTGCCCGAGTAAGGCCTTGCCCCCACCACTTTCACATGGCAGGAAGTGGGCGACAAGGAGGCCAACCTGTCTTTTGCCGTCTTTACGCTGAGGATTCTGTTCATTTGGGGCGCCCACGGCCACCACTAAGTGTCATTGCCGCACCTGCTTTTCGGGAAGAGCTAATCGATTTTGCCCCACTTGGTGGCCCGGTAGAGCTAATTGATTTTGCCCCACTTGCCGGAGGGAGCGGGGAAGGGGGGGAAGGGAATTGGTGAAAGGGGCCACAAGTCTCTTCACAAACTCCGTTTGAGGCAGACTTGTGGTCGGCCAAGCAAAAATAGGGAGGGGGGAGGTTGGATGGTGGAGGGAGGGGAGGGAGGGGGAGGGGGGGGAATGCCCCACCCCCCCACGACCCGTTTGCAAGGAGGCAAGAGGGCGGCAAGGGGGCAAGCGTCAAAAGTCGCTTAGCGGCCCACACAGTAGCAAGCGGGCAAGTGGGGCAATGTCGTTTTCCACCCAGGAACCAGAGCAAGTGGGGCAAGCGGGGCAAGTGGCAGAAAACATTTAGAGGCCCACGTTTGCACGCCCACTGCAAGATGTGCACATTGCAAGGGTGCTTTCAAGTTGCCCTCAAGTAGCATGGTGTAAGGCAGGGTTAGTTCTGCTCCTAAAGCCAATGGCAGGAAACAACTCTAGCAACTCTGATGGCGTCCCTCCGCAAGAGGGTTTTGAAAACATGTTGATTGCAGAGCTGGTCCCCCTGGCCGCAGATCGGTACTGCGACGTCGACAAGCCAGGCGGCAGGGGTTGTTGTGCGTTGTGAGAGGACACATTGGACATGTGGAGCCGGCAATTTGTTGCAGGAAGGGATTGCCGAGGCTCCCAAGGAACCGTCAACCCTAAACCATCCTAAACCCAGTTGTGTAGGGGTTTCGGGATAATCCAAAGCTCTTCCGACCTGGGGGACGAATGTAACTTCTTTTTCTTGTGGTACTGCAACTCTCCCAAGCAGGTAGCCTCCAACACCCACAATTTATATAAATCGAACAACCCCCAAAGAGGCACCGACTGAGAACCCCTGATCTTTTTCACATTTTGAAGCGGCCTTCAGGGCCCGGACGTCGCACTGGTGGCCGTGCTTGTGCTGACGCCCCACGGGCTGCAATTTGTGGTGCTTGGGGGTGAGGGCTGGTTTAGAACTCTGGGTTCACGACGCCCCTCATGACGCAACCTACGCAATGTGGAAGCTGCAGGCCCTGAAAAATGTTTGGCATCGCATCCCAGGTCCATTGCGATGATGTGCATCGGCTGTTTGTGCATCCGCCGTGTGCGTGCCGTACGCGCGTCCAAATCACACAGCGAGACCCCGCTGGAGGCAGCGGCCTTCTCGGCAAGCGCTTGGCTGACAGGGCTTACGGTTTTCGGTTCCACAAGTCCACAAGTACAGGGCTTAGGGTTTTTCGGTTCCACAACGTGCCAGACCGCTGTAGCCTACAGCACGCGCCCGGAGTTGCCCTGTGAATCTCCTCCCATGCATGAGGTTATAGTTGAAGCATCTCGAAGATCCTCCATGTAAAGATTGTCTGATTGTGTAGTGCATGACGTCATCGCCAACGACTTTGGCTCAAACATGAAAAAGGACGACGCTGAGCCTCGTTCTTGCGTTCAAGGCCGGGTTTCCTTTTGTGGTTTCCCTTCGCTTCCTCTTCGTTCTTACCCTAACATAGCGTTGTCTCTGTTTGTGGTCAGAATAACTGGTTATCAGCCGTAGCGCTTTTGGATTCAGGGTTTTCCGTGTAGAGCAGTTCTGCTTCTATGGACGATAATCCGGAACGGCCACAAGAGCTCCTTCCTCGACCCCAGAAGACACGAGGAAGTCGAGCTGGACGTTCGGCCAAGCGGAAACGGGAGGCTTTCCAGAGGTTCGTATTTGCCGAAGCGCAGGTTTCGAACCCTGGGAAGTATTCATCTGCATTGGAAGTACCTTTTCGTCGTCCAGACGGTACTACCAGGGCTTTTGGAGTGCCTCCACCATCAAGCGATCCTTATCAGGAGGAAGAGGCTGCAGTAGAAGCTGAGGAAGAAGAAGTTGTGGTGGAAATTGAGACAGAAGCTGAGCCTCCTACGGTTCCCCATCCACGACTTCTCCCTACTCCTATAGTTTCGAAGGCCAAGCTTACAGAACCTGTGGGAAACCGCTTGATACCGCGTGCTGCAGGTCCTGCTCCGGTTTATGGTCGGCTTGCAAGTGGCAAAGCTGCTCCACCACCACCTCCGCCTAAGCCGTCTACCACACCATCTCAGCCTAAGGTTGTTGTGTCTAAGGCACGTCCTGCTTCAGCGAGTGAGTCTCAGCCGAAGGCAGTAGCATCCAAGGCGCGTCCTGTTACTGCTAGCGATTCCAGTGCAAGAGGATCTCGGGATTCGCCTCCGAAGGCTGTTGCTGTGAAAGCTCGGCCAGTGCAACCGCCGGGGCCTCCTCCATCTAAGAGGTCCTACGAGGAGATCGAGGTTCAGGACGAGGAGTGCCTTCCTTCTATTGATCCTGGGCTTCGCGTGGATTTCGGTAACACTGGTGTGGAGATCATTGATCCCAATACCTATCGCATCGTGGGCTTGACGCGCCATTCGATCGCGAACTCCCACTACATCATTTCCTGCGATTTTCATAGTTGCCTGGATTTGGATAGGCGTGGGGCTCACGTGGACTGGTCTTCAGATTATCCTGTTCGCCCTTTTGAAGCTCAAAGATTCCTGGCTCGTGTCGCTAAACTCGCTGACAGAACGAACGGATTAGTTATAGTCTGCTCGTATTGCCACCGCGAAGAAACGAAGCGACACGTGGTGAGAACCACTTGTAACACAGTGGAGACTTTGGAATCGGAACTCGGAGGGAACGCTGTAGCGTTTGTTGTGCTTACACGTTCGGCTACAGGGAGATCTGGGAAGGCAGAAGTCCTTCGGAGACTTTGGTCTCTGCCTGCAGGAGCAGGGTCGAAGTGGGCGCTGGTTCATCTGGACGATTCTTCAGACATCATCGATTCGCTGGCCAACATCCCGAAGGTGACCCTGATTCACATCCGTTCCCTTTGGAAGAAGAAGCATCGTCGTCCAGCTCCTCCAATTTCTCCTTGTGTATCCTTCGACCACGTCGCGGACTCCTACGACTACATTCGCGGCTGGGTCGAGCAGTGCTATCCAGATACCTTTGATTTCAGCCAGCTCGACGTTTAGTCTGGCATCGTCCGTGCGTCTCAGAGTACGATAGGTCGCTTTGCGCCACTGCTGTGCAGACTGGGGTTGCTAAAGGCTAAAGGTATCGGTTGCTTTGAACTTTCTTTTTCAGGGCCGTCTGATCGGCTGCTTCTGCGCCACAGACGGGTTCACAGGGTTTCTTGCCTAATTCAGGAAAGTTCCGGTTCGGTTGGGTTCGGTTGGGTTCGGTTCATGCGGTATGAACCGGATGGCGGTTCTGAGCGGTTCGGTTCTTGTGCGGTTCGGTTCGCGGTTCCTACCGGTTCCGCGGCTCATCCTCTTCGACGAGTACAAGTTCGATGCTGAAACGTGGCTCCTGCCTATTTACGGGGTTTTGGAGCTTTCAGCAGAGACAAATAGTTGCAGCTTAGCGTCCTCCGCACTCGCGTTCCAACGTGCGTCCTCAGACCGCACGTCCTCAGACCGCACGTCCTGAAATTACACAGATCCAGCTGCTTGAAAGCAAGTGGCAAAATGCATTTCTGGGAGCCTGCAAAATGCATGTTTGCAGGCGCCTCGGACAACGCACTGCCCAAAGCTTTTTCAGGGCAGTAGGAACCCTTGCGGTGTCAATTCCAACCAAACAATGTTCACGACCTCCAGGAAGCAAGAAAATGCATTTTGTGGGGCCTGCAAATGCGTTTGCCGGGGCTGCCACAATGCACTTCGCCACCTTGCCAGAGAGAATTCTCTGCGCAGACACTGGTTCCAAAACTAACAGATCTTGCGAATGTGGGTTGTGGGCCTTCGTTTACCCAAACAGTGTCGACTGCTGTGAGATTCCTTGGACTTGGAGTGCCCAATTCCAAAGACCACCGTGAGACTCTGTGCCCCCACCCCTGCCAGAGACTGCCGCGACATGCCTTGGACTATGGATCGTCGAAGGAACTGAGTCGCCAACTCGAGCACTGACACTTCCCCATGCTTCTGCATATAATAAGCGTGTTTGTGTTGGCTCAAACAATCCCTCCCAACCCGCCCCCCGCCCCCCCGGTTCATAGGGTTGCGGTTTGCGTGTCCGGTAGTCGTAGCAGTAGTAGTAGTAGTAGTAGAAGTAGTAGTAGAAGTAGTAGTAGAAGTAGTAGTAGGAGGAGCAGGAGGGCGGGCGGGCTGGGCGGCGGGCGGGGCGGGCGGGTGCGGGGTGTGACGGGCGGGGGTGGGCGGACGGAGTTTCGGCGGTTGAGAGCAGCCACACTAGTAGCAGTGGCGGTAGTAGCAAAGCAGCAGAGAGACGAAATGTGCCAGGTTTGTGGGCTTTCCAGGCGCTGCGAGCCCAAAAACCTGGCACATTTGCCTGTCCGGTGGTTGTGGTGTAGTAGTAGTAGTAGCAGTTGTAGTAGGAGAAGAAGAAGTAGTAGGAGGAGCAGGAGAGCACCAGGCGGTAGTAGTAGCAGCAGAGAGTAGGAGGCGAAATGTGCCAGGTTTTTGGGCTTTCCAGGCGCTGCGAGCCCAAAAACCTGGCACATTTGCCTGTCCGGTAGTGGTAGTAGAGTAGGAGTGCAGTAGCAGTAGCAGTAGCAGTAGTAGTAGTAGTAGTAGTAGTAGTAGTAGTAGTAGTAGTAGTAGTAGTAGTAGTAGTACTAGTAGTAGTAGTACTAGTAGTAGTAGTAGTAGTAGTAGTAGTAGTAGTAGTAGTAGTAGTAGTAGTAGTAGTAGTAGTAGTAGTGTAGTAGTGTAGTAGTGTAGTAGTGTAGTAGTGTAGTAGTGTAGTAGTAGTAGTAGTAGTAGTAGTAGTAGTTGTTGTAGTAGTAGTAGTAGGAGTAGTGTTTGGGGGAGGGGAACGATTCGGAGGGGAACGGTTCGGTTCACGGTGCGGTTCCTAGCGGTTCGCTGCAACGGTTCGGTTCGGGTCATGCGGTTCGGTTCCTGGCGGTTCGGTTTCTGCGGTTCGGTTCGGTTCCAGAACCTTCCTGCTAATTCGTAAGGCTGCTACGGCGCCACAGCCCGAACTGCATCACCGCACTTTGTGCCTTGCACTTCGAACAAAAGGTGCTCGGCATCCTGCCCTGCAATCATGTCGCAATCTCAATCAACCCCGACTGATCCAAGCTCGCTGCTTGACATCTCAAGTGCTTCGGCAGCTGCGGTTCCAGGTATGAGGGATTCCTCCTCCCCCTCTGGGGGATCCGAGAGTAGTTCAGCTTTACCTGAGCGTGAACGCTCCCCTCCTGCCAACAGAAGAGCTCTGGCCCGAACTCCCCGGAAAGCCTCAGCTCCTTACCCAGCTAGCAGTGTTCCTAGCGATGGTCCCAATGTTCCGACAGTTGTTCACAGCCAAATGCTAAGCCTGCTAAGCATAGGAGCATGGCCTCAGCAAGTCCTCGCCGCACAGCAAGTCGCTGCTGGTGAAGGTGTCGCCGCCCAGGCGGAACTGCTGCACCGAGTTTCTATCAATGAGGTACAAGGTCAAGTCAGGGACGTGCTAAATGAGGCGGGATCTGCAGTCGATCAGCTTCGTGAACAACTTAGCTTTCGGAGATCCGATGTGGGGAATTGTTTGAGTATGGTCAGTTCGTTGAACGTCAGCTTACGCAGGCACAGGCTGACTTGAGTAGACTAGAGGCTGAGTTGAGTACCCAACGGGTGAATTTCCAAGAGACCAATGCTGCTCTCCAGGATTGTCAGTCAAGCAACAATGCGTTGACCTTCCAGCTAAATCAATCCCGTGTAGAGTGTCAGATCAAGGGGAGAGAGAGAGAGAGAGAGAGAGAGAGAGAGAGAGAGAGATTCAGAGGCTTCGTTCGGCTGCTCCATGCGCCTCGACCTCCGGATCCCCTCCGCAACCTCCAAAGTCTCACGCTCCACCTGTCGGTACCGGGTCTAGTGTTAGTGAAGCATCCTGGACTCACCTCGAGGCCTCAGATCCTCCAACAGAGCGCCTGTTGTCAGCCAACTTCACCGGTGTCAGACCCTCGCGTGGACCAACTGATTGAGGTAGTTCAGCAGTTAGTTCAACAGGTCGGTCAAAATGCTACGGGTACTGGTGAGACTCATGATGATGAAGTTGAAGAGCAAGAAGCTGTCAAAGAGCTTAGGGAAAAGGACATTGTCGATCAGAGAGCTCTCCTGCATCTCAAGCTTGAACCTGTTCCTTCAGATGCGGCAAGTTTCCGAACTTGG